CTTCACCAATGATTGCTGTTGGCTTTTTCCCTTCCCCTAGTCTCTCCAATATATTGAACTCCTGGAATCCGCCTACATATTCATTACAAAGCATTGTATCATCTTCATTATCTCAACTATGTAGATGTCAGTATGTAAAGTATTGCATTCTATAGGGAAATTGTTTGGACATCATGCAACCGATTGATTAAAACAAAGTGCTGAATCTCAACTATGTAGATGTCAGTATGTGAAGTATTGCATTCTATAGGGAAATTGTTTGGACATCATGCAACCGATTGATTAAAACAAAGTGCTGAATCTCAACTATGTAGGTGTCAGTATGTGAAGCATTGCATTCTACGGGGAAATTGTCTGGACATCATGCAACCAATTGATTAAAACAAAGTGCTGAATCACTATGCAATGCTTTCTCCATGTTCTAGAGGCCCATTCGGAATACGGATAAAACCAGGAAAAGAAGGTAGGGAAGAAAATTTAGATGAACAAAATGAATCTTAGTCACACATCCATTAAATTTCTTTTAGATAATTGTTCAAATCATTTTATTTATTTATTTATACAAGGACCAAAAATATTTTATTTTTATTAGCATCTGCCCAGGTAAGACCTAACATAAGACAATAACATTCCTAAGCATGCTCCCCTTTCCCTAGACTTCTCCAGGACCTAAACACACTAAAAATCCCTGCCCAGACTCACCTAGGCTGACTTGTCACGCTACGGAGTACAGTAAGCATGAATAGCACAAAGATGTGCTTGTGGCGTTTGAGCGTTTCATTCCTATCCGAGCATTAAGTTAGAGCACAGTTAGAAAAACATCCATTTTGTTCTACCAATAAAAGAAAAAGAAACAGCAAAAACAAACCTTCTGATAAATGCCAACGAATGCTTGATAATTGGGTTTCATGTTGTGGCTGTGAAGCTTTTTCATTTTCACCAATAACTGCAAACAACTCTAAGCTGTTTAGTTTCTACACGGCTTTCTATACAACAATCCAAAAATTATGATGCAAAAAAGGGACATGCCTACAACTGTTATATTAGCTCCATACTTTTTAGCCAAAGCAGCAGTAGTAGCGGCAGCCTGTAGATAAAGATTAATGTATAAAGTAATAAAGCATCAATAAAATCCATATGATTCCATCATTTTCATAGTTCCAATATGAGCTAAAGTGCTAAACCTGTCTTGAACCCTCCGACAGATAGGGGTTTTGATCCGTGATTGGTAAAAGCAGATGCTTGAAATCAGTAAAAGCATCTGCAGCTGTAGTGGCGGCAGCATCTGATGCTTGGGCCTTCACCTTTCCTGGAAACAGTGGGCTACGCACACATTATCTAATAAGATTAGGGGTATGCAGTATAGAACTGATAATACATTTTAGTAAGCATTTTAGTTATCCAAAGTTTGCAAATTCATTGATACTCATTAGTCTGTAAAATCTTATTATGCCGAATCAAAGGTTAAAGCTTGATTCTTGGTTCTTGATCAGCCATCCAAATTCACTTTGACAATATATAAATTTCTAGAAAATGAAACTAGCCATACCTGTTTGCCCAATTCGCAAAAGTTTGGGAAGAAATGCAAGATTGGGAGTCTTAAATCTTTGCAAGGAATTGCTGGGAAGAGAAGAACAGAAGGATGGGGTTGGGATTGAGGTTCCTGCAAGGCATTTTGAGGGGTTGATTGCAGGAGAAACTGGAACAAAGTAGTGAGTCATTGCCATGGAACTGATGGAAGGTAGCGGTGGCAATTTTTCTCTCTCTATTTCTTGATTTTCTAGAGGACTCTATAGCCTTGACAGTGACATATAGTAATGGGTGAGGATCACCACTGGGCTAGTGGGCCGACATATAGAAAGCCCAACGAGGTTCTTGTTGGACCGTATAGAAGGCGTCAAACCAGGCCATGGATTAGGCTGAACTGCAAACCGGCCTCTTTGGCATGATGGCAGCTACACCGGAGAACGACGACGACGACCTATCCGCGGGGGAATCGACGGCGCTGCACGAAATGACGACGTTCTCCCGCCACCGCTTCGGGAACTCAAGTAATTCGGAAGAGGAGTTATCCATCACCATAATTGAGGCAAGTAAGTATCTCAAAGTGTACCTGAAGTGTGAAAAATTGACCTAATAAGTACCTTATACCCTCTGGGTGTTTAACCTTCGTAGAACATGAAAGAAGAATACGGTCTGTTTGTGTGGCCGTGTAGTGTTATTTTAGCGGAGTACGTTTGGCAGCAAAGATCACGCTTTTCCGGCACCACCGTCGTGGAGGTCTGTAGATTTCATTTCTTATTTCATTTGTATTTTATTTTGTGGAGATTAGGTTTAGTATTGGTTCTACAGCTTGGTGCAGGAACTTCATTGCCTGGATTGGTTGCTGCAAAATTGGGTGCAGATGTCACACTGACAGACGATTCGAACAGACCTGAGGTTTGGCTTAAAAGATTATCATTTGATGATCATAAATGTACAACTATACTCATCCTTCCTAATATTATCTTCATACTATCTTATTCCGTTCATATCAAATAAACTTCATTTTTCTTTTACGTCATTTTTTTTGTTTCATATTAGTCTTGTCTCCTTTCCATTACTTTAGAGTACACAGTTCCATTTTTTTAATCTAATTGAAAAGCAAGTCAAAAGTCAAAAGAGGAGTTAATATTGGGATGAAGGGAGTAATTAATTTCTTTGAAAGAGGAAATGGAAGTTTTAGGTGTTGTTTGGGGATTTTTTTTTAGAAAAAGAAAGGAGAGGTTAAGTTTTATTTTACCCATCTATCTATATTTGAGTATTTGTTGATTTCAACTAGAATTGTTTAAAGGATTAGTTATTCCTATATACATTTGTATCCTTGCTTTATTTTCAATTATATAAATGTAGAAATTGTTTAGAAAATAAATATCACTACTTTCTCTCCTCTCCAGAGTCCTCTAACAAAACTATCCCGTTGCTCGAAATTTGTGCTGCACTTGAAGATTGATAAACTTTTGATATATATATTATTATAGGTTTAATTTGAAGTTATATATTGTAGCAGGTTTGGTTGATTCTTTGAATCCTCAGAGAGGTACCATAGAGAACATAATCATTTTCTAGAGTGAAATTTAATGGAGTATAGATCTGCAGGTCTTGGCTAACATGAGAAGGCAGTGTGACTTAAACGATCTGAAGTGTAAGGTAAATAAATACCTGGTACTTTGTTTATTAAGTATATGCTTAATAAAAGGGCATCAACTTGACTGTTGAGTGTTATTTACATGGTGTGTGTTCTAGATATTGGGTCTTACATGGGGACAGTGGGACTCAAATGTTTTTGATATACACCCAAACATTATCCTTGGAGCTGATGTTCTTTATGATGCAAATGGTATAGTTTACCTTAAAAAAAACTCTTCCCTTCGTGTTGTCTACTTTCTCTTTCATACCCTTTTTGATACTGCAACTGAAGTTGAAACTCTAATATGTATGGATGTCAAGCTTTCGATGATCTTTTTGCTAGCGTGACATTTTTGCTTGAGAATTCGCCATCGTCTGTTTTTATGACTACTTATCACAATAGAAGGTAATTCTCTGATTCTCTCCTTCAGGTCTTTTTTTTGCTCTCTGTATCTTTTTTTTGCTCTCATTTTTTAAATCTACAATATGTTTTTACCATTGGTTCTGTTTAAACAAATGTGAACAGCGGGCATCATCTGATTGAGTTTTTGATGGTGAAGTGGGGGTTGAAGTGTGTGAAGCTTCTTGATGGATTTTCATTCATGCCAGCCCAGAAAGCATCTGGTTTGAGTGGTGATATCCAGTTAGTTGAGATTGCTTTGGATAGACAGTAAACAATACTGTAGAATATGACCAACTCGCCTTTTTTCTTTGAGTGCAAGTCAAACTGCTTCATATTTATCCTTTTAGATTAGAAGAATTGAATACTTTTCAACAGCTCCACCCCTTTTGCTCAGTCTAACTTCAGCATTGAAGTAAATGCCTGCTACGAGTAATTTTCAATTAATGAATCGCCTCCAAGATTGTTTATGACGTTCATGATCTTCAGAATGACATGATCTTCCAATTATCACGTCATTATAGTTATGACATAATTATTTTTTTACTGCTGAGTATTCTATAATCATTAAAAGTGTGTTTGTCATGGCTGGCTTTTTACTTTATTTTTTAATGGAATAATGGATTATGATCAAAGCAGGTGAAAGACAAAAAGTTTTAACAGCTGAAGTTGTTCTGAAATATAATCATAAGCTATAGAATTTCAACTTCTCTAAATAATCATAGGCTTTTACAGGGAAAATAATCATAAGCTACAAAATTTCAACTTCTCTAAAACAGCTGAAGTTGTTCTGAAAAAGCTTTTTTCCATTATAATCTATCATTCAATTATCCCTAGCATGTTTGCTTGTAGTTCAACTTACGAACTCAGAAATAGTTGAAATGCTGGTTTTCCAATCATGCCCTAAACATACCAAACTCAATTCCTCATCAGCCAAATGGACTACAGTTCATTTATTTGATTGTACACATAGAATTGGATGCTCATGGGAAAAACGTAGGACTTTTAGTTATTAGTTAATTTAGTTTGGCTGCAGTTCTTGAAAATTGTCATTTCACTCTTATTTCTTCTAGTTTTACTAGTATTTCCTTTTCTTACGTGAAGGGGTATGTGAATTGAGTGGCTCATGATCTTGCACGGGCTGCGGATTGCTATGTGTGTGGCCTTATAAGTTATAATCACCCCTCTTGTATTTCATTTTCTTTGGACCATGATGTTATTAATAATACTAAACTAGTTTTCCTTAAAAAAACAGTGGCCATTTGACCCTTATTTCTGATATTAAAACATATACTTTCCATAGTTCAGCAACTTTGCAAATGTCAGCTATTTCAACCGAATTTTCCGTGCCAAACACTCAAACAGGCTCTAGTTTTGACTCAAAAGTGGAGTACTCAACCTAACTATGGAAAGGGAAACAAAAACTTAGCCTCTTACTACAGGAATATATATATATCCTAAAACATGTATTTACATTATATCTACAAACATATGTCCAGGGCCAGAATGGCATACAAAAAACTGCACAAAACAAAACTCTATACCTCCCAAACCAATCACTAGCATTCTGTTCAACATACAGATAGGATCATCATGTCTATACAAGGAGACCAAGAAACACTAGGCAAATGTGAACCAGAGCAAATGTGGTGAGCCTATCACTAACAGGGAATGCAAATGATTTATGTGTAATGTCTGCCCTCCCATCTGATTCTATATCACCAGCAGCCACAGCAGGAGCCACACTGGTTGTATTTGATGGCATGTTTGGCGTCTCAATGTCATAACCTATAAAATCAAATATATAAAAAGACATACAAAAATTGTTTGATTAAATTTATTTATTTTCAAAACGAAATTTTTTTACTATAGAAGTGGATAAGAAACTTACAGTCAAACTTCTTCCACCCAAGACTGACCTTTTCTCGATCAAACACAAACCGGTATCCTGTCATAAAGTTCTCTGCAATCACCCAAAGAAGTTATTTCAAATGAACCAAAGGCGTTTTTAACTTTTAACATAACAAAAACTGCTTAAACAGAAACTTACGCCCAATTATATTATAATCTTGGCTCTTCAGAACAGCAAGGCAATACACAAGTTGACTCTGCAAATTGTTGTGCAGTAAAGAAATCATAAGAGGGCCAGAGGGGAGCCATCAGACTCTTGGGGGGAAGGGGTGATGCACTAAGGGTCTGTTTGGATGGAAGGTAAAATTTTCCAGTGCTTAGCGTATAGTCTATATTATGATTAACACAGAGCACAGTTTTTCTAAAACCAAATAAAAATATGTAAATGTTATACGTCCACATATCATGTAACCTTTCATTTAATATACATCTTAAATAGTAAATACATGCCAATGTATATACGGACAGACAGAGCCATACAAGTTGTTCCCCTCCAACACCCTCAATCCAAACAGGCCTTACACTTTTATATACCTCAAGGGGGATGACTATCACAGGATCAAAGACTACAAGGCGGCCTCCTCCTTCCATTGTCAGGCTCATAGTAGGAACCAAACTAGTACTTGAATTAGATCTGTCAATATCAGTTGCTAACAAACTGAAAAATATGTATTATCCTTGCAAAAGAAGTGAACAACAAAAAATCCCACATTCTAACCTCATTTCGTAACAATACTCAAAAGGGATTCTTTGATCAAACTCAAATCGTCTATCCTGTGTTTGTGAGTCAAACTGAACCAAGACCAACAAAAATAAAATAAATAAAAACAGCAAATTATATTCAACAAAACAAACCAAAATTAGTAAATAAAAATTATAATAATTGAGAATATGAATCATTACACTTTGTGAGAGTTTTGTGTAAGGCGGATCATCCAGATAGGTGAAGGAAGTTCCAGTATCAAAAAGTGAAGCGAACTCATAATCAATAATATCAGTGCCAACCTGAACCTGTGCAATGGTGATGTTGTACCTCGGGCTGGTTTCATCATACAATGAGTAAATGAAACAAAGGCCTTGCTTGACAAGAAGGGTGATTAAGTAAATAATCAGGCACATGATTACCACTTACTGCAACGGATTCAAATGGAACGGGGTCTCTTCCTGGTCAACACTACCCTTATCTCCAAAGTTAATCCTTCCCACTCCATCACGCCCAAAACACATCGAGAAAGAATTCGGTATGTACGCTTGTTGAGATAGAACGCTTGGGACCGATATTTTCTCAAAACCAAGCCCAAATAACCCATTTGGTGCTGCAACATCTAGGAATGAACCTGTTTGCACTTGACCACACCTGCACACTTAAGGCCGTGTTGGGATCCCAGAAAAATTGGTAGGCAATTGAATGGGAAATAAAATAAAATTTGTTACATGAGTTCAGATTTCCTAGTATTTAATTACTCCATATACAGCAGAAAAATCTGAGTTTAAACACATTATAAAAGAATAAGGAGTATGAGCTTTCCATCCAAATATTTCCTATATTTTCTTTCCCTAGCACTTTGAGTTCCAAAGAGAGCCTTTAAGAAACTTGCTAAAACTGACCCGAAGATAACATAAGCATCAACAAACTTTTCATCAGTGTCATCTGTTTCCAGTTGCAGAACATCTTCAACCAAGACTCCAGAAGTTGAAGTCTCCGACGAGAGATACGAAACAGAATAAGGGCAACGGCTAAATGCGTCAAGGCAGTTGCTACGATGAGAGCAGAAGGTGTTGGTGCAGGTGATCTTCTTTCCTGTTGATGATCCATTGAAGTTGTAAATGCTAAGAGCAAAATCCTGCATGCATCATTAAAGAAATAAATTCCATAACTTTTTCTTGATAAAAAAGAAATAAAGTAGTTTTTTTTTTAATTTAGAGGGGAATTAATTAACATACAGAATCATAGAGAGTGGAATCATCAGTAGAAGTGCAATTGGAACAATCACAGGGTACCCAAAACAGATCACTCCCAGTATCTAGGGCTACCAGAAACTTCATCCCCGGCGTTCCAAGAGTGACCGTTGTGTAATGCAAACTGCATATTTTTCCAAGATTGGGAAATTTAATAAAGTAATTTGAAAATCAAACCAAGTTGACACTTAAAAAAGATGTTTTGAAGAATGGGGGATCTTACAATCCCAAAGAGCTGATACGGTAGGTGGCATTCCCGTCGGCAAAAGTAAGCGGGCTGGAGCTGGTGCTGTCGGAGTCGAACAGTCTCCGGCGATGGAAGAACCGGTCGTGGGTCGCCAGTTGGGTGTAATAATCAAGACTGCCCTTGGCCGGCCAACTGTCGACCGGGAAAGATGCGGCGGTTCGCTGGAGTGCCAATTTCTTGACGGGATCGGAGAACCGGTGGTGGAGTTCAAAGGTGAAAATGCGAGCACGGGAGAGGTGAAATGACGAAACTAAGAACCCTGCGATCAAGAAAGTGAGAAAAGAAACCATTTTGTTGGTTGCCGTCGACTGATATGAAGCTCGGGGTATTGAACTGCGCAGTATGATAATGAAGAAAGTGAAACTGATTGTTAAGAATTAGACAGAGGAATCTGCAATTGATCAGAAACAGTGATTTTGACACTTTTGGTTGATGATGAAATGCTCCCTAGTGGCTAGTAAGGATGAAAAGTTCATGTTTACGTCTTCTTTAGTCTGATTATGAGAGATTATTGCAGAGTTGCATACTAGCATGGACTGGGGGGCGTAAGATAGTTGAAGAAGAGTTGTTATCCGGGGTAAATCGTTTGTATTGTTATGTAACTTTGGGTTGGTCTTTCAAAAAAACAACTTTGGGTTGGTGTAAACACTAAATCTAGTGTTTTCAAATGTCACTTGTTTTACACGCTCATATACAACTTGAAATATACAGTAGTTTTTATAAAAATTATTCTATATTTTTTATTTCTATAAAATGTTATTTTATAAAAATAATTTCTTTTTGAATAGCAGGAACATATTTTGTTGTGCAACTCACATTATATTGTGGTGTTTCTTGTATTATGAAAAATATAAATCATGTGTACGTATATGTAACATGCTGAAGAAACTAGGAAAGTTGACATATAATTCACATTCATATATATATAATTTGAGATAAAAGGAAATGTAAATCCTTTTAATAAAAATGCAACTTTTCTTAGATAGCCATGGATGACTATCCCTTGATCATAGGAGCCCTAATTTCATATCTTCATTCCTATGTCACGCGACTAGGCCCCCTACCAGCTCTAAGGGATGCCCAATTTAGCCTGAAACTTTACAATTGAAGAACACCTAGCTAGTTAGAGCAGAGCCCCCCCCCCCCCCGATCTCAATAAAATCTTAGTCCCCTGTTTGAGCAGTAAATTTGTTGTGGATAACTGATGAGCTTGAAATTTTTCAGGATGGGAGGAGTTCAAGAGCTGGTACCGTGCAAAACGATGGGGAGGAGCTGACGATGGAGAGAAGCTTGAAATAATTCAGTTGGAAGAGACTGAATTTTATTAATCGAAACACCAATGTTTGGGATTGGCACACCATGCGCAAGATGGGCCGATCCCATGGTATAATTTGCGTTGAAGGAAGGAAGGACGTAGCAAGGCGGACGCTTCTTCCAAGACTAGCCTTCTCACAATTATTCCTTATTATGAAAAAAAATAGTGGAGTCTGATCTCATCTGATCTGAACTGATTTGAAATTCAAGATCAGTTCAAATCAGATCAGACCATGATTTTTTTTAACTCTAATGATTGTGAGAAGTCTGATTTTGCAGCCTTAAGCATATGTTTTAGTCTAGCCCAATCGCCTAACGGCCCAAGACTAGCGAAAAGCGAAAGGTGAGTGTTACGGACGAAGAGATGACAAGTTGACATTGAGGCGGTTCGGGGTCGGGTATTGATATGCACTAGTTAGTAGTGCATAAATGTGTATTTTTATATCTTGTTTTGTATGGATTGTTTACCATTTGTGTGTAGTTGTAAACATTTGTTTACTTTTTATTTGTAAGTGTTTTTAGCTTTTATTTGTGGGTTAGGAAGTTTTGGTAGAATTGTTGGCAAGGAAAAGGAAGAAAAACAAGGAGGATGCTGCCCAGAAGAATAAACCCGTCCGGGTAGAAACCTTCACCCGGTCGGGTTTGAATTAACATTTGCAGTCTCCAGGAAATTGCTTGACCCGGTCGGGCCCTATACCTCACCCGGTCGGGTGAGACTTGACCGAAGACAACCCGGCGTGTTGAAGAACATTAGAACATGGAAAATATTTGATTCGGACCAGTACCCGGTCGGGTAGATACTCTACCCGGTCGGGTACTCGGCCAAAGGTGTTGAAAAACACCTATAAATAGCACACTTTTCCTTCATTAAAAAGAATCCCTTCTTCCATACTTTTAAGCTCAGTTTAGAATAGTATTTCTTTTATATTTTTATAGCATGTTTAGTCTCCAAATGAGGAGCTAAACTCTTCCATCTTGGTTCTGCTACTTTGAAGCTTAATGAATTTGTAAGTTGTGAGTTATTCTCTTTAATCTTCTTCCTTGAATATTAATTCTTCCTTTAAATACTATTTCTATATCAATGTTGGGGAGTGTTACTAAGATGACAATTAGTTAACATCTTGACATTAATTATAGTAATAGCTATTTCTTCCTCTATGTTAATATTGGGGAGTGTTACTAAGATGACAATTAGTTAACATCTTGATATTAACTATAGTAGGATTCATCTTCTTTAATATTCTTCCTTGAGTATTAATTAATTCCTATTCATATTTCATATTAATATTTTGAACATTACTTAAAGGATCAACTAGTTTTGTTTCATATATTAATTATTACTAGAATCAATCGGTTAATACGCTTGTTATTAATTCGGTTCTTTCAGTGGTAGTAAACTTGGGTTGTTAATGCATGCTTCTCATGATTAATAAGCCAAGGGGAATTAATTATATTGATTAAACCAATAAACCGCTTGTGTTGAGGTTATCAATCTCAATCGTTTTCATCTTGATTTTATTGCTACTATCAAGTTAATATACGGCGCTTGTTCTATATTGACTCGGTAGTAAGTTTTATTAATGAACGCGTCTCGTTATTAATAACTACCCTCGATGAACTGGATATACTCCTCGATTGAGTATTCGAGAGGAAGATAGTTAAAGATATAACCGGGATCGACGAACATTTCATTAAGTGGATAAAAGCAAAGCCAAGTCTTCTTCTCATTAATTAAACCACATAACTCGTTCATCTTCGTGTTTAATTTATTAAACCAAATCAAACTAAAACCCCCCATTTTGTTACTAGTTCTATAAAAAGAAAAGTATTCCTTTCCCTGTGGATACGAACCTTACTACGCTATACTACGTATAAGTGTTGTATTGTATTATTACTTTGAGTGCACACCACGACAAAGTGCACGTCAAATTTGGCGCCGTTGCCGGGGAAAGGCAATTATTTTTCTTTTTATTTTATTTCAAGAAAAATCAAAAAAAAAAATTAAATAAACAAAATATAAAGAGTTCTTACTTTTTCTATTTCTGAGCTTACATGAGTATATGGTAAAAACCCGTTCTATAAACGAGCTTACTTACCAAACAAACCCCGAAATAGAACAAGCCTTCGAGAGGTTGAGAAATTTGTTTCCGCACACACTCTCAGAGGAATCCTCAAACGCTAGCTCTAGCTCTAGCGAATCCGAAGAGTCATTCCACATGGCTCTCGAGACAAGGACCTTGAGGGAGCTCACAGCTCCAAACTTGAATCAACAACCACTATGTATTACCTTTCCTACTCTTGATGAAGGTAATACATTTGAGCTGAAATCTGGGCTCATACATTTATTGCCATCTTTCCATGGCATGAGAGGAGAAGATCCGAATAAACATCTTTCGGAATTCCACATCGTTTGCACAAGCATGTGCCCAAACGGTGCCACAGAAGAGCAAATAAAACTGAGAGCCTTCCCATTCTCCTTGAAAGATACCGCGAAGGATTGGCTTTTCTATCTTCCTTCAAGAAGCATCAACACATGGGCACAAATGAAGAAGTGCTTCCTCGATAGGTATTATCCTGCTTCCATCTCATCTTCTCTCAAAAAGCAAATAAGCAACATCGAGCAAAAGGATGATGAATCCTTATATGAATTTTGGGAAAGATTTAAGAAGCTATGCGCTAGCTGTCCCTATCATGGCTACTCGGAACAAGACCTCATCTTATACTTTTATGATGGTCTTGTTGATGATGATAGAAGAATGGTGAACGCCGCTTGTGGAGGCGGCATTGTTAATAAAACTCCTTCACAAGCTATAAATCTTATCTCGGAATTGGCCGAGAACTCACGGCAATTCGGTCGCAGATCCTCAACTCGTAGAGTTGCCGCTGCAGAATCGACATCATCACTGGAGAGTCAAGTTGCCGGCTTGACTTCTTTGATTAAGGATTTCCTCTTAAAATCCAAGACCCAAGAAGTCAAGGTCTGCGGCATTTGTACACAACAGGGACACCCCACGGACTCATGCCCAACTCTTCAAGAAGACAATCTAGAGCAAGTCAATGCCTTGGGTTTCCAAGGACATCAACAAAGGAGGTACGACCCATTCTCCAACTCTTACAACCAAGGATTGAGGGATCATCCAAACTTGAGGTATGGAAACTCCCAACAATCCAACTCATCTTCTCAACCACCTTTCAACAATCAAGGCTCAAATTCTCAACCTAATATGTCAACTGATGACATGATAAGAGCTTTGACTTCAAACATGGCTACCATGCAACAAAGCATGGGTCAATTTCAACAAACCATGATACAATTCCAACATGAAACGAAGTCAAGCATTAAAAATTTGGAAACCCAAGTTAGCCAAATTTCAAATGCCGTAAGCCGCCTTGAAGCAAAGGACTCGGGTAAACTCCCATCTCAAACGGAGCAAAACCCGAGACAACATGTGAATGCAATCATGTTGAAGGGGGTAGAAAAAAATGACCAAGAGATCAAGGAGGTTGATCATGGAGAAGAAGCTCAATCTGAGGAGGGAACCACAAAGGCAAAACTTCCACCATATTCATCGTATGAACCAGTAGCCCCATTTCCCGAGGCACTGATGGAGACAAGGAAGCTGGAGAAAGATACTGACATCTATGAGACATTCGCCAAGTGCGAGGTAAACATTCCGCTGCTTAACTCAATTAAAAAT